CATCTCAAAAGCCCAGATTTGAAACCACCAAAAACTGGCTTCTTAAGGGGCAGGAGAGAGGGGAGAAGCTTAGAAGGCAAAGGCAGAATCCCTTTTTCTTTTTCCTTTTAATTTGGTACACACACACACACACACACACACACACACACACACCATTAAGCTTACCACCTTAACCATTTCTAAGTCTATAGTTCAGTAGTGGTAAGTATATTCACCTTGTTGTGTGACCAATCTCCAGAACTTCTTCATCTTGCAAAACTGAAACTCTATAGCCATTAAACAATTCCTCATTTTCCCCTCTCTCAGCCCCTAGAAACTATCATTCTACTTTCTGTCTGTATGAGTTTGACTACTCTAGATACTTCATGTAAGTGAAATCACACAGTGATTGTCTTTTTGTGACTAGCTTTTTTGACTTAATGTCCTCAAGGTTCATTTCCTTCCTTTTCAAGGTTGAATAATATTCCATTGTATGTATATACCACATTTTACCCTACTATCTGCTAATTGTAATAATTTACTTAATTATTTTATTGTAGTACACATGTATAGCAGTATCAGAATTGTAACCCACACTCCCATGTGAAACAACTTTATCAAGTAGAGCACAGTGCTTATGTACAGTTTCTTTTGCCTTTCATCTGACAGGCTCCACTAATTTCCAAAGTTTTGTCAGCATCTTTCCCCCTCACTGTAGCTTTCAGTGGGGTTGTTTCAGACATTTTAATGCAGTTATATTGTTTTGTCATATTCTATATTCTGTCTTGGGATCCTTCACCTAAATGATTTTTTTTAATATTTGTATGCTCTTTGTGCTATAAAATTCTATGGATTTTGACACATACATAGTGTCAAAAATCCTCTAAAAAATAAGGGATTTTTTTTCAGGACAGTGAAACTAAATTCTATGACACTATAATTTAGGACCTATTTAACTCTCTGAACCCCTTGGCGATCACTAAACTTTTTATTTATTTATTTATTTTTTAGACAGGGTCTTGCTCTTTTGCCCAGGCTAGAGTGCAGTGGTGTGATCAAAGCTCACTTCAGCCTCCGCCACCCAGACTTAAGCAATCCTCACACTTCAGCCTCCTCTGTAGCTGGGAGTACAGGCATGGGCCAACATGCCTGGCTAATTTTTAATTTTTTTTGTAGAGATGGGCATCTCACTGTGTTGCTCAGGTTAGTCTCAAACTTCTGAGCTCAAGCAATCCTGCTGCACTGGCCTCTCAAAATGCTAGGGTCACAGTCACATACCACCATGTCCAGCTATTTTGTGTGTGTGTGTGTGTGTGTGTGTGTGTGTGTGTGTGTGCACGTATGTGTGTAGATGGGGTTTTGCCATGTTGCCCAGGCTGGTCTTGAACTCCTGAGCTCAAGTAATCCACCCCCCTCAGCCTCCCAAAGTGTTGGGATTACAGGCGTGAGCCACCACACCCAGCCTCATTGAACTTTTTATCATCACTGTAGTTATGCCTTTTCCTACCACGTTTTGATTAATCCATTCAGCTGTTGATGGATGTTTGAGTTGATTCTACCTCTTGGCTATGGCAGAATTCCTTTTAAAGAGGGAAATGAGAACAAATATAGTAATTTTAGCCTCCATCACAAGGAAAAAACAATATAATAAATTATGTGGTTTCAACATTAAATGGGAAAGCAGATCATATCTTGGAGAGTCTCACAGGGCAGAGCAGGGCACATGCAGGTGGGGGGTTCAGAAATGGACTCCACGGCCACACTATCTGACTTGAATCCCAGCTCTACCACTTTTGGGCTGTGTAACTTCTGGTAAGTTATGACATGTCTTTGTTCCCTAATGGCTTCACCCACAAAAAAGGAAAAATAATATCTACCTTATGGTATGTACTATTATTATCAAAAGCAGTTGCCTCATGAAGGGTAAATGATGTAATGCATCTAGGGCAAATAATACCTGCCACATAGTATGTACTACTATTCTCAAGAATAATAATCTCAGGGAGGAGCAAATGATTTAACATATATAAAGCACTCACAACAGTGCCTGGCACAGAGTTAGCCCTCACTAAGGGATCATTACTATTATTACTAGGATTTTGAGATGGGCTCAGAAGAGTCAGGATTTGATCATTTAAAGGAAGAGGAAGGCATTACAGACAGGCACAAAGGCACAGCAGCACGGAGGCTGAGGGAGTAGATTTAACAAATAAAAGATAGGACATCAGTGAAATCTGAATTATTTATAATTGCCTGTGCATATGCACATTGGGACAGAAAAACATTGCATGCACTGACTTGTACTTTTTCATTGCTTTGTTTCATATGCTAATTCATTGCTTATCTAAAATAAATTATAAGTATCTAAATTACATACCTCTTTTATTATATTTCCCTGGAGATTTGGTGCTCCCTAATAGTTCTTCATTTTGCAGAATTTGTTTATAAAATTCCTTGCAATAGTCTGTTTTCCATTTACATTTTATCATGACTTCTATAGAGGCCGAATTCAATTTATTTTTTTCCTTTGGCCACCGCACATTCATTAATGAGAAATCATGCTCGACATTAGCATTACAAGCCAGTGTATTGAATATGTAAGGGCATAAATTTACCAACTCTGAGAATCACTCTTCAAATTTGATTGGCTGAAGCACAGGTATCATCTTTCATGCATAACTTGCTTTTCCATTCTTCGGGATCACATTGCATATTTTGGTCAATGACTCTTTAAAATGTCCACTGACAAAAAGAAGCACTGTCATCAGTATTTATTTCTTCTTTTCACTACACTACACATAGATTACAAATAGAACTTTTGATGGATGCATGGAAACAAGTACAATGTTTATTCAAAGTTGAAGCAAAGCCTGAATGATCCTATGAAAGATATTGGCTGTCCTGCCCGTGTTCTCATAATGCTGCTTAAATAGCATTGGATGTCTTCTTTCGAGACTGAAGTCATTATCATGAAATTTTTCATGTAGTGTAATCATTTAGGCTTTGCTTCGACTTTGAATAAACATTGTACCTGTATGCGTAACACATAATGTAATGTAGTGAAAAGAAGGAATAAAAACTCATGTATTAGATAAAAAATATACATGTAATATAGTGTAGTGTAGATTCTTTTCTTTCTTTTTCATCACACCACACACGACGATTCCACTTGTACTCATATTGGCAGAGTATTTTGTAGCATCTGTGTAAAAAAATTAAATTTTTCAAAGGATGAAATCCATCTTGAAAGATGGTCATAGCAAGTGTTGTAATAATTGTCCACTTTGAACTAAAATTTATTTTCCTGTTCATATGTAATGTCCCTTTTAAAAATAGCTTTGGTAATTCAAGGGATGCATTTTTCATCAATTCTCCTTCAACACATTCAAAAAATACATTTAGCAATGAAGTAGTACTTCCATAACTCTATTTTCTCTTTCAATTTGCAGAATCTTATTGCAAAATTGACATTGAAAACTATGAGAAGTAGTCATCATTCAATGGATTTTTTTAAAAGTCAAGAATTTTGGGGTCTTTCATTCATAATTAAAGTATAATTTCAGTGCTTGAAATAAATGGAAGATTCTCTCAACTGCGTTTGTTAGAGTCAACGGATTTTTGAATGCAAGAGAAATGAAGAATTCTGAATGCCAAAAAATCATAAAAGTCTTTAAAATGTTCAGTTAGAATGCTATAAGTACTAAAGTAGGAGAACAATTTCATGATAATTACTTTGGTTTCAGTAGAAGACATCCAGTGCTATTTACACAGTATTATGAGAATATGGGCAGGACTACCAATGTCTTCCACAGGATCATCGAAGCTTTGCTTCAACATCAAATAAATGGTGTACTTGTATGCATACATCCACCAAAAGTTCTATTTGTATTATCTCCAACAAAAGCAGTAAAAATTTTCTCATTAAGTGCTAACTCAAGAGGTGCTGTAAAAATTCGCTATTGTTTCTGAAGTCTCACCTGGAAGAGATTTCTACCTGCAGTTGTCTTATTGCAAGTGTTTTTCATGAGAAAACTAATGCGAGCAGGGAAAGTTGTACCTGTATTGTGATGCTTGTATTGTGGCTATGCCATAAAAAGGTAAGGCATTTAGATATTTGATAATCTCTGTAATAATAAATTAAGCGATTATATTTTTAATTAGGGCAGTCGATTTTATTCTAGCATTTGAAATTGTGCTTGCAATTTTGGAACCAGGAAATACTTTGTTAGTAGTATGTTCAAACAGTTATTTCAGCAGAAAGACTGATAATGATATAGTGTGGAAGGCCATTACAACTTCTGTTACAACTATTTTGTCTTCTTAATCTGAGTTTCTCTTAATAAAAAAAATTTGTTAGTGTATCACTTTTCTTAGTACTATTGAGAAAATCTTACATCTCTTTTATGTTGAACCATTAATATATGCTAGTTTCCATCTAATTTTCTATCATTTTTATACTAAATGAACAATTACATACTGCACAAAGCACTTCAAAAGGAATTTTTCCTTGTTCAATAAACGTCCACTGCTCAGAAATTTCATCACAAAATTTACACTTGCTTTTGGCAATCAGGGGTTCAAATATACACAAATAAAAAGCAGATCATATAAACTGCAAGAATGGAAGAGATTCATTTTGCCAAGTTCACAGCCGCTTCAGTACATCCGTCACTCATAAGTCCAAACTCATACCATAAACAAAGTCCAACTGGTAGGTTGCGTTACACTGAACCTGACATGCAATGCCAAAAAAAAAAAAAAGTGAACTTCCGGTTTGCTTGCAAGAGAGAACTGTACTTGTGTGGCAAAGTCTCCCAACACCCCAGGGCTGACTTAGTGTAAGGTTTAGGGAAGCGAGGCTTGCAGGGGCTGGTGGCGTTTCTGATGCGTAAGTATTTAGGAATGCAAGGCCTTTCAGCTGTGTTAGCAAATCACTAGCAACAGCTGCCTTCGCCCCGACTTCCGGCGGCGCAGGCGCGGGAGCGAGACACTTGCTCATTGGCTGCTGCCGAGCACCGAGGGGCCGGCGCTGAGCGCTGCCTTTCCGGCTGTTGCGGATCTGCTTACATTTAGGACTGCAGTTACTGCAGCGAGGCTGTCGCCGACTGGCCGATTTTCCGAACGTGTGTATGATTGGAAGTTACCTCTAATTAACGGTGGCTCCCGTGTAAGACTTGGGACTTCTGCCAAAGAGCAGTGTTTTCCTTTCCCGAAGAAGAAAATCAGTACCCTTAATTCTCAGTCTTCCCTTCTCCCCTCAGCCGAACCTGCATGAAACCAGAAAGGTATTGTCCAAATCTTTATGGAGATATCCTTTTCAGCTAGTGTTGCCATTTAGGTGATTTAATTTAGGTGCCAATTACTGTGGAGGAAAAGCAGCTCTGATGAATTTTTTAATGTATTTTTAAAAAGCTGGGGCTGGGCACAGTGGCTCACACCTTTAATCCCAGCTTTTTGGGAGGCCTAGGTGGACAGATCACCTGAGGTCAGGAGTTCAAGACCAGACTGGCCAACACGGTGGAACCCCATCTTTACTAAAAATTCAAAAATTAGCCGGGCGGTAGTGGTGCACACCTGTAATTCCAGCTACTCAGGAGGCTGAGGCAGGAGAATCGCTTCAACTGATGGGGCGGAGGTTGCAGTCAGCCGAGATCATGCCACTCTACTCCAGCCTGGGCGACAGAACGAGACTGTGTCTCAAAAAAAGAAAAAAAAAGCTGAACACAGGACATTCAAGGAGTCTTGACAAAGTCAAGTTGGACAAAACACAGGATGTACCCTACATGTATAGCCAATATATTCCCTCTCCATGGGGAAAGTGAGAGGGAAAGGGAGGGGAAGTCCCATACCCATCAGAAAGAAATCTAAGTCCTTTGTCCTTCTGGAAGGGCATCCATGGTATCCCAGCTTTTTTTTTTTTTTTTTTTTTT